GTAATTATAATCTCTTCTAACTTATATTATCACGCCTCCTCTCTGTTATTTAACTATACTTGTTGGTAAAACCAAAACTGTGGTTAATACCATTTTTTTTTCTTACTTTGAGCCTATATCTTTGTATTAACCACATTTCTAGCTTCTCTAAACCTGATGTTTGAACATGTGCCCTACACAAATAGGTCACACACATCTCATTCTGGACAACCTGATAAAATGCCAAATTACTTTAGCCTCCTGCCTCCCTCATTGCCCTCTTCTCCCCAAACTCAGGAGAAGTCCTCCTCCCAGTGGTCCACTTTTAAAATACAAACCAACCAAAATCCGGAGTCTACATTCCCAACCACCTCCCTTATGGGGCTCTCTGGTACTCCAGGTCCCTACATCTGCCAAATGCTAGACCAATATGTTCAGCACATAAGCCCCAGAACCTACTAAAATTACTCAAAGCAGCCAATTCTAAACCTGTTCATCCAGACACACCCATTCCTTTTGGCAGAAATCACAATAAAGCTTCTTCCCCACATTTCCTACCACATCCCTCTGCCTCTTGACAAACCTCAGTGCTGCCCTGTGTGGCTTTCTGTGGTGTGACGTGCCTCTTCCTTCTGAGAACAGTAATTAACTATTTTTTTCAATGGCAATCATCTCTGGACCTAACCTCTAAGTATACCTTAAAATCCACATTGATAAATTATTATATTTTAATGTGTGCAACTAAATGAAGTAGAAAAAAAGCACCAAACTATGATGAGTAGGTCCACTTTAAATTATGATCTTTAACTTAACCTGCATCCTTAATGTGCCAGCAGCAATCTGCATTTTCTTTGTTAATTTCCTACTATACTCTTGAAGTCATTATTTTGTACCTCCTTTTTCCTCAAATATTGATATCTCTTATCCCATTTTTGCTTTCAGCTGATTAAAGGAGAACACTGACTTAATCAGCTAACTTCTACAGATGCTCATTGTCACATCTATGGATCTGCCTTTGTGTCTATATTCTGTATTTCTGGTTACTCTGGATAAATTCATTATTTTAGCTTAGGTCAATCTTTCTATATGTTCTCTAGATTCCATTTCTTATTTTTGCCTACTCAAGGACATTGCTCTAGTAATTCTCTAAGAGTTTTTTATCTTTCTACTAGATTATTCCTTTCAGCAAACATACTGGTATTTCTCCCATCTTAAACAAACACACAAAAAAATCTTGACTTAATATATCCCTTCAGCTATCACTCACTTATGTTCCCTTTAATTACAGCAACTCTTGGACCCATAAATCGAGGAGTCTTGAATATGTTGATAGAAAATGTACTTTATGAAAAAAATGACTTCCATTTTTTGACTTAAATAAAGTACCAACTCACTATGACATGTCTGGACAGGATAAAGTTTGAGGCACTAAGCAGAATAAGGAACTAAATTAAGTGATCCATCAGAGCAACATGAATTTAAAAAAAAAATAAAGCAGAACAAACAGTTAATTTGTGGTGAAGTTTGGGTCTAAGAAAGGTGAAATCTTTGATGCTTTACAAAAAAATTGGTGGGACAATTCCTGAAAGAAATCAGCAGCTAATGAATGGTTAATTCATTTTTTAAAAAAGGACGAAATGATGTTGGGAGAAATTAACCTTGTTCATGCCTTTATTGAAGAAGATTAATGATTAACAGCAGAAACAGCAACCAATATCATGGAGATCTTCATTGGTTCACAATTATGACTAAAAGATTTAAGAGAACAACCTTTCTGCTCAATGGGGGCCAAAACTATTGTTCCCAGATCAGCTGCAGACAAGATCAGAGTTTTCTATGGAAATTTCCAAAAAGTAGGATCAAGACCTTGAAGAATTTCTTCAAATAATTATAAGAAGTAAAACATGGCTTTACTATTAGGATCCTAAAGACAAAGCACAAGCCATGTGTTGGCTACCAAGAAGTGGAAGTGGTTCAGTCAAAGCAAAAGCAGACTAGTCAAAAGCAAAGGTCATGGCAATAGTTGTTTGTAATGCTCCAGGCATTTTGGTTATTGATATTCCAGAGGGCCAAAGAATGATGTCATATGCTTATTATAAGAGTGTTCTCATAACATTAGCCAAATTTTAGCAGAAAATACCTGAGAGATTTTCCCCTTCTCCATCATGACACCATTCCTGCTCATTCCTCTCTTTAAAAAGGGTCAATTTTCTGAGAATTTCGAGAAATCATTAGGAATCTACCTTTCATTCTCACTCGACTCCTCTTTTTGTTTTGTTTCTTTACTAATCTTAAAGATGACCACAAAGCCCATCCCAACAAATCTTTTTTTTTTTTTAATTATTTTATTTGTTTGAAAGAGTTAGAAACCGAGGAAAGAGAGAGAGAGGAGAGAGAGAGAGAGAATATCTATCCACTGGTTCATTCCCCAAATGGCTGCAACAGCTGGAGCTGGGATGATCTGAAGCCAGGAGCCAGGAGCTTCTTCCAGGTCTCCTACATGGGTGCAGGGGCTCAAGAACTTGGGCCATCTTCTGCTGCTTTCCCAGGTGCATTAGCAGGGAGCTGCATGGGAAGTGGAGCAGCAGGGACACAAACCAGTGCCCACATGGGATGCCAGCACTGCAGGTGGGACCTTTAACCCACTGTGCCAGAGCGCTGGCCTCCCTGATAAACCTTTTAAAAAAAATTGATTAATGTGCTAAGGGCTGTAATGAAAAAAGTAGATAATGTTAAAGAACAGATGGGTAACATAAACAGATGAAAACTTAGAATGAATCAAAAGGAAATGTGAAATATAAGGAATTGCAATAAAAGAATTGGTCAGAGGAATGGGATAAATGGTTGAATAAGGAATCTGTTGTTTTTGTAAACCACAATGGGAGATTTATCCTATATTATTACACCAACAAGAAAAACTGAATTAAGGAGAAAATTGATAAATACATGCTTTATGAAGTTCTTTTAAACATCTGAATTAGCTCTTAAAAGGAGAAAGATAAGAAATAACATATTATGTCAAGCTAATAGGTTATAAACTTCAGTTTCTATGAAATTTTAGATAGCTTGGCTGCCTCAAAAAGTAAGTGTTATATTATTTCCCATCTCCTACTTTATACTTCAATAATAGTTAATCTAATATTTTAGAAATTTTAAAGGGAGTTTTCCTAATACTCTTAGCTACTATGAGAAATGTATGATTTTTAATTTATACAAATTGAACTAAATTTTATATATTTCCATGTTTAAAGGTAAAAACAAAAACCACACAAAGTGAGAAGTAACTAGTATTACTGATCCACATCCTCATCCATTTCTTTGTTCAGTCAACAAATATTTGCTGAGTATTTCTTCATTATAGGTGACAGAACATTCTGTTCATTCTAGGCAATAAATAAAACAAAAATCTTTGCCCTCAAGGACTACCATTCCTTCACTGGAGATGTATTTTTAAACAAGTATATACCTGTAAGCATAGATTTTATTGGAAAATTAAAGCAAAGGCAAAGGATTAAAATGTTGGGAAGAAATTCTTTTTTATGTACATTGGTTAGAAGAGTCTGAAACAGTGACATTTAAAAGAAAGTAAATTATGAGATTTTTCTGGAGGCAAAATATTCCAAACAGCAAATGCACAAACCCTGAAATGGGAACATACTGTGCTTGATGTGCTGTGGAACAATATAATTAGCCAAGGGTGAAGAGTTCAAAGTCAGTCCTGCTGGGCCCTTTAAGAATGGGAGCTTTTACTAGAGTGAAATAGGAAAGACTTAAGGATTTTGAGCAGGGAAACCAGAGATTACATATGGTCTTGGCAAAAGGATTACATTTAGGCAGCTACTGCAACTTGTTAATGACTTCCTGGGAGTGATAGTCTAATTTATGTTGCAGATAAAAAAGATATTTGCTGATGCAGTGGGATATAAGCGAGAGGTGAAGGGTAACTCTGTTTTTCACCTGAGTAACTAAAGAATGGAATTTGCCATTTACTGATATGGGAAGCAACAGCAGAGTAAACTGGAAAAGAGGGGGAAATAAATTCAGTTTTGGATATGAATATTGAGATGTCTACTAACAATAGATTTTTTTTTTTGAAGTCCGTTTTCTTGGGAGAGGCTTTGACTAACGACTTGTAAATTACTGGTATAGGTGATTTTCAAAGGCATAATAGTGAAAAGAACAGGTTTGAGGAGTAACCCCAGTGAATACTCCAATATTTAGTTATAGGAGAGATGAGGAAGTATCAGAAAGAAAACGGGGAGCAGTAGTGCTGCAGACACCAGACAGAGGGTTTCAAAACTAAGTGATAATGAGATCAAAATAGCTGATGAGCCCGTTTAGAATGCAACTGTAAACTGGCCACTGCACTTGGCTACCAGCTATTGCGGACGTTCACAAAAGCTGTTTTGGTGGAGTGGCAGGATTGACAAAAAGCTTGAGTATCTTATTGTACAAAGAACACACAGTTCTCTCGCAAGAGATTTCAACAAACTGCGCTTAAGAAAGACTGAGCTGGGGGAGACTGGAGAGATGTTGAAGGTTTCAGAAGAGAGAACAAAAGAGATCCAGAAGTGTGGGTCGAGTGAATGAAATGGGAAACTTCAGCGTAATTTCCCGGGCAGCACGAGGGGATCCTTCAGTTACTAGCGAGCGCGACAAATCCCAAGAGCTACGTGCTTTTCTCTAGTCTTGTTCAACTGCTGCAGAAGAGCAGAACGTTGCGACAAGAAACGAGTTTTAAAGTGGGATAGTGTGAGGGCAGGGCAGAGAATAATCGTCCGGTCTGGTGGCTCCCAAGCCAAGACGCTCACAGAACGAAGGCATTCAACTTGCGAGCGCAGCCCAAAGAGAACTCGTCTTTTCCCAGGGTAAGCGCAGCAGTTCGTTTTTAAAAGGCTCCGGTAGGGCCAGGAGCCTTTGACGAAACCCAGAGGAAAGGTAAGGTGACCCCTTCCCCAATCCAGGGGCGGGTCGCTCCGGGCCCCGCGGGGGTGGGCTTCGGTGTCAGCGCCGCAACTTACATCCCGAGGTTCGGCTGCTTACGGCTGTTTGTCGGAGAGAAGTACATGGTGGCGACTGGCGAGGGAGCGGTGGTTCACCGCTGCCCTGGCTGCTCCGGGAGTCCCCGTCCCCAGACCCCCGGCGTCGGCGGCTCCGGCCGAGTACCGGAATGTTTGCCGGGCGTCATGGAGACGGCGGAGTCCCGGCCCAACAAGCGGCCGCGCGGTTGGCTGGCGGCATGAGGCCGAGGAGGAGGGCGGAGGCGGAGGGGAGGGCAGAGGGTTGGTGGAGCGGGAGGAAGCTCCGGCCGACGACTAGAAGGAGGAGGCGGGCGGCCCGGGCCCCAGGCCCCTCCCAGGCTCTGAATCTCCCGGCTGCAGGCGGATGGATGGGGCTTCTTCAGGCGCTGGCGGCAGCAGCGAAGGTGGCGGCGGCAGCAGCGGGAGCGGCTGTAAGTGCAGCCTCCACAAACCATCTCTCCCCTCCTACTCCTGTTTGGGGTGACGGACTCCTGAGGTGTCCTCAGTCCCCTTTCTCTCCTTCCCCTCCCCCACCGCAGAGTACCGCCCGGAAGACCCTGAACTTCCGGGGCGGGGCTCCCGGAGAACGCGCCCGGCTCGCTGGCGGCGCGGAGTGGCGCATGCGCAGCGCGCCTCCCCCGCCCACCGGCTCCCTCCCCCCTCCCCGCCCCTTCCCAGCCCAGTCTTTTTGCCTGCGCTGTGGCGGCGGCGCGGCTCTTCCCCGGCGTCCGCGGCGCGCTGCGAGTCCGCTGCGGAGTGAGTTCGCCTCGCCCGGTTCGCATCCGGCCGTGTCTGCGGTCGGCCCCTGATCCCGGGCGGGGTGGGGCTAAGCTGACCACCCTGACCCGTGGCTCCTCCTCTTTTCCTCCGTTTTTCCCTCTGTTGTGTCTCGCTCTGCAGCCCCTGTGGTGAGCAGGCTCCTGGGCCAAGCTGCCCTTTTCGGAGGGAGTGAGGGAGGGAAGAGAGACTCGCCCAGGGCCTCGCTGTGAGGGGACAGGGTGTTCCCAGCGCCCGGGAGGAGCCCCCGGAGCAGACGCCGGCCCCCCTCTGAGTAGCCTTGTTCTTTCAGCTGGTAGTGGAGCCGTCCCGGGCCTGGAGCCCGCCTCTGGTTCTCGCATGCTTTGTGACCTTGGGCGAGTCACTACACCTCTCTGGGCAATAGTGTTCGCTATTTAAAGCCTCCTGCAACGCTGAAACTCTGCAATTTTGCAGAAAAATGTATGCAATTCCAAGACTGGCCTGGCTACCAGAGGCCACGTAACCGAAATGAGCCCGGAGTCGAGTGAGCCTTTCGTCAAATCAGGGGTGGAATGAGGCACCCTATTGATGAAGTCGCGTTTATCCCCTACCGTCGGGTACGACGTGCAGGACTCAAGGCTCATTGATGTTTAAAATTTGCCATGGGATCCTTGTCCTAATTCCCGGCCATCTTTTTCAAGCGGTGACAGGGAGTGAATGGTGAGCTTGTGGTATCTGCGTTTCTGTCTCACTGCTACTGAGGCTTTCTTTCCTTTGATCCAGATGGTGTGGTGGCTCGATTCTCCCAGTGCCTGGCTGAGTTTCGGACGTGGTTAAGAACCAACTGGTTGAGGTTCAATGCAGACAAGACGGATGTGATGCTGGTAGGCAGGGGGCACACTTGGAGATGAAGGGAGGGAAAAAGCCACACTCCCTCAAGTCATTATAAGTATCCTATTGCTCTTCTTACATGTTCCAGGGTTTGAGAACTTCTGATGGGCCAGTAATTTCCAGAATTTGGGTGAGATGAAAATTATATATCAGTAATATAAGAACTGTAAACACATCAGTTTGTAATATCCTGATAAAATGGGTCCAGTGAATAAAACTCTTGGTAAAAATTCTGAAAAGAAAGCTACACCTGTTCTTGAAAGAGTCAAAGGTTTTATTAGTGTTTTAGGGTGGTGTTAATAATACAAACCCTACTAACCAAAAGATGCTGACTGTCGCATAGGTGTGAGTCTTCCAAATGTCATGCATTACTGCTTTGCATCCTGCACTCTGCCTAGTAAAATAAAGGTCAATTCAGTTTATCTAAAATGTCGTTTTTAAAAACAGTGTGAAGTTTTTTGGTACTTGAGTATTTTGAACCAAAGTGGTAACTATCCATAGATTTTAACTGCCACCGTCATGCAGATAGGGCATAGACTGTCACTTTTAAATAAAAATTTCAGGAAATAGCTTACAAAAAAACCTTAAATGATTCATGGACCCTGAAAATCATTAGCTATAGAATTTGTGTTAATGGTTTTAATGTGTTGCTTTTATCTATTTCAACCAGCCCTGCAGTTCTAAATTGTTAAAAGTGTAGGTAATTTTTGAGTTGCATAACAGACAGGGTTGTATAGTGTATACATTACTTGCATTTGAGTCAGGTATTGGTACTGAATAAAAGGTTGTATTTCTTGGGTATATGTAAATTGCTAAAGAATTTTATTGATTAGTCTAAGGCACTGAAGTAAAATTGTAACCCAAAATGCTTTTGTTAACAGTGAAATAACAGCTTTGATTGTGTTTGTGTGTGTTTGTGTGTGGGCGTGTGCATGCCTTATAGCTGTTATAAAATTATTTAATGATTTTTGAATGGAGGATTCAGTAAATTGCTTAAAAATAATTTTCCAATGTAATAGCAGTTTTGAATAGCTTGATGCAATAAAAATTCATATTAGTTTGCCTGAAAGGAAAAAAATGAGGCCTTTAGATGGGAAATATGAGCTAAAAGAGGCATTTATTTAGGCTTTTTATAGTGATTTTTTGTTTTGGGACATAAACCACAGACCTCATATAAAATCGGAATTAGCCACCTTTTTAGTTTAACTTTAAACATTTTACTATCTAACAGAATTGCCATTTTGAGTATCATATTATTAAGTAATATGAAGTGTAATCATTTAAACATCATATTTAATGGTGAATTTTCTTATGCCTTTAGCTCTATTATGCCCTATTTTCAACTCTTTTAGGCTTTAAAGATACACTTTTTGTTAACCCACGTATAAATATTTACTGTTTGCATTTGAATACAAAGAAATATCTGTTGAATTAATCCAAAGTGCTGAAGAACTAAGGGTAATGGATGGAACTAACAAGGAGGTATATTCAGACTTAATAAAAGGAAGAATGCTCCAAACCAAATGTTTGGGGCTTTTTTTTTTTTTTTTTAAGAGCAGCCTCTTCATGAGATGCAGTGACCCAGTTAGAGAGTGTGTTAAACAGACAAGCCTGGTAGGAAATCACGATGGGGATACCCACTCATCAAGGTAGAGAACTGAGTAGAAACCCCTAAGAGCCCACCCAGCACTAAGCTTCTATGACTAACAAGTAGTTACTTATTTAAAATTTTATTTATTTGAGAGACAGAATTCCCATCTGCTAGTTCACTTCTCAGATGCTTGCAACAGGTCACCTCAGTCCAGGTTTCCCATGTGGGTGGCAAGACCCCAGCTACTTGGAGCCATCACCACTGCCTCCCAGGTCTAGAATCAGGAGCTAGACCTCGGAATTGAACCCAGGTACTCTGATGTCTAATGTGGGACATGGGCTTAACCTCTCTAGGCCAAACACCCACCCCAGTTTTTTATGTAGTTGGTATTGAAGAAGGTAAGCAAGAATTTGGAGAAAGACTTTGCCTTTCTTAAGCTGGCTCCAGAAATTTTTACAGATAAATATATCACTGCAATATAATGAGTGGATGTATACAAATTCAGTAGTAATGTGTACCTTGACTTACAGTTTTAGAGCTGTGTCTGTTTACCCTTACAATATCTAAATCTAAGAAAACCACTGAACCAACATTTCTCAAAAAAGGGAGGAAAAAAATGTAGAGGGAAGCTTTCTTTGAAAGATGCCATCTAAAGTTAGAAATATTGATAGGCAATAAATTTATAAGTCATTTAGTAGTAAGGTGGATACTCGTTCAAAAATTGCTCAGATCTCAGTTGTCCTGACAGTTTCAGAATTAATTCAATAGTTTAAGGGACCGCTGCCCTCTGCTCTTTATCACAGTTGGAATTTTTGTTGATGGCTTAAGTGAATTATCAAAGATTCATTGGACTTAAGCCAGCAAGTTGTTGCTGTGTCTTGTATCTTAATAGCACTTAAACATTTTTCCTTTTGGTAGCTAGCTATATACTGCATATATTAGCTTTTGTGTTTTACTGGAAAATCTTCCTCCATCCCTTCGGTATACAACCCGAGTTTCTAAAACCTCTAGGCCCCTTACTGTTTTTATCTGTACCCACCTCAGGTCCATTCGCATCCATTGTTCTTTGCCTTCAGCTCTTTTCAGCAAGTATATCAAGTGAAAACTGTTTGGATATGAACTAATTTTTAAAAAAAGGCATTTTTATTTCAAGTCCAAAGGACTAACATAATTCAACAGAGTAACTGTTAGAAACTATATAACCATTCTAAGATATTTACCCCTGCTAAGGAATTCTGAAAAACACATTTTCTTAAAAATGAAATGAAAATACGATACAGTAAATAGTAAAAATTGTTTGTAGACTTGGGAACCTTAAAGTTTTCCTTTCTCTTCTTTCCTTTCCTTTTCTTTCAGTAGAAAATGTGCATCAGATGTTTATATTTAATTGGTTTACAGACTGTCTGTGGACTCTTTTCCTGTCAAATTACCAGGTAATGTCCTTTCACTTAGCAGCTACTTCATATGCCTGTACATGCAGTGTATTCATGCACAAATTATTACTGGGCAAGAGTGTGAAGTTATTGTTGAATCTTTAGAAATAGCAAAATGTGTGATGGAGTCTAGCATTTTAAGAGAATACAAGTAATCTAAGAAAACCTCCCCTATATTGCATTATAGGTATGGATTTTAAGCAAAATTATGTATGCACACATTTATGCAACATACCATAGCCCTGGCATCACATTATTTCAGGGAATTAATGATTCTCATAATTAACTGATTAAATTTGATAGTCATTTTTGAAACTACTTTAAGAACCACCCTTAGAAATTTAAAAAAAAAAAAAAGGAAAAACGGTGTTTTGAGTAAGACATTTTAATTTTTGGTTTAGTAAAACTTGTCAGTGCTTGTTTGAGTATCGCTTTTGTATTGGCCAGTATCTGCCCTAGTCATGGAAGTGAAACATCTTTGTTACATCAAGGCCATTGAGCCAGTATATTAAACTTCAAATTGCGGCATTGCAAATAGTTTCTCCGTGGTTACAGTCAACTAGATCATTTTATATTCATCAAAGAAGAGCATTTCAGTACCTTACAGTTTCAAGTTGTGTCTAGTGCAAAATTTGAGCCTTGCACAACTATTTTGCCAGGGTGACAGAATACCTAAAAAAAACTCCTTAATCTCTGATCTCACCCCCCTGAAGGTTTTGGGGACTTGGGATTTTAACATTTCCTGTTGGGAGTCAACCAGGAGAGGAATATTTGTCATTTCAAAGTGCAGTTCGTGCCGCTGTTGCATCACAGCAACATCCGTTTTCCTGCAAATGCACTTTAAAAAAGCCCCAGACGTCAAAGAGAACCTGTTTCCCCCGAACTCCGTCAGCACCTGACGCGGCTCCCGGGGCCGCCGGCTCCCCCGAGCCCTCCCGGCCCGCCGGGGCCGACCCTCAGCCCGGCCGGGGGCGGTGTCGGTGTCGGCGCGCGGATGCCCGCCTCCCCCACACCCACCTTGGCTCCGCCCACTCCCCCCGCCCCGCGCGCTCTGCCGCGGCCGGGAGGGCTGGCCGCGGGGCCGCGCGGGCGCGCGTCCTGGCTGCCGCGCGTGCTCGCTGGCCTTTTCCCTCCAGTGCTGCACAGCCGGGGCGCCGCGAGGGGGCGGAGTGTGGTGTGGTGGGCGCGCTCGGGCGGCTCCTGCGCGTTCCCGCCGAGGCCGCGGCGGCGGGAGCGGCGGAGACGGCAGCGGCTGGAGTCCCGTTGCCGAGTCTCACATCCGGGTTCTGGCCGTGACCCAGCTGCGGCCGCCGCGGAGATGTGACCCGGCAGTACGGCAAATATGGCGGAGGTAAGGGAGCGAGCTCCCCTCCCCGTCCCGGAGCGGGGCGCCCCCGGGCTCTGGTCGGGGAGGAGTGGAGTGGGCCTGGCCAGGAGAGGCCCGGCCCTGCCGGCGCCACTGCCCACCTGTTGTCCGGAACAGGCCACGCTGTGGGCGCGAGCTTTGCCGGGAACTTAGTTGGGAAGGGTCCGGGGGTAGCAGGAAACGGAGGCGTAGTTGGACTTGGGGGGCAGTTTGAAGGGTCGGGAGCTGCGCAGCAGTGCGGGCGGCGGAGGAGGGCCAGCCTGTAGGGGAAGGGGTGCTGGTGGCGCAACTTGGCCGGCCGGTGCTAGGGGCCGGGAGCGGAGCTGCTGCTTCCTCTTGCGAAGTTTCTTCCCTCCCTGGCCGAGATGCTGTTGCGCCCTTCCGCGTCACCCCCGCAGCCACCCATTTACTTCGCGAGGAAAACCCAATGCGGGGCGGCCTGTGAGAACTTACTTTCTTGATAGTGGAGCAGCTAACCTGGCCGCCGCCGGCCAGCCCTGGAGGGTGGGGAGTCGCCCCCTTTTCTCCAGTTTCATTCTCGCCCCCCCCCCCCCCCCCCCCCCCCCCCCCCCCGCGCCTTCAGCGCGCAAAGGTAGAAGCTCGGTTGCTTTTCCACCTTTCCCCTCTCCACTTTCCGGGCTTGTTTTTGTTTGCCTTTTCACTCTACCAAGTCAAAACTTTTTTTTCCCCTCTAATAAAAGTTTTCCTTCTTTGAGATACATATATATGTATAATTTTTTGTTTGGTTTGGTTTTGGTCTCTTTCCTCTTCTAGTAGGCAAATTCCCAAAGCTCCTTTCTTCAGTGGTAGGTGTTTTACGTGTTTGGACCTTAGATCCGTGGGTAAAGAATTACTGTTGGTGTGTGATCAGTTGGAATCTGTATGTGCTACTGAAAATTTTAAAGTTTTTGCGTCTGATTTAAGCCTTTAAATAAACAGAGGAAGTTTTGTGGAGTTGTTTTGTTTCGTTTACTTTTATTCCTTCACTTGTGGAAGGATTTCGTTTTTCGTTATCCCCTGGAGTTGGAAATTATATATTTGGACTTTTCGGTCTCTTAGGAGCTAAGGTACTCTATAAATATTTTTCTTGTTTGAATTGCTATTTTCATGGTTTTAGAGGCACCCAAAACAGATTCAGGAAGTTGGTAATTTTATGTAGTGATGGCTGCTTTTGTCAACACAGTGATCCCTTTTAAGTTTTGAGATACAGAAACATGTTTAGTTATGGAAACCTTTTCATGTGACTGTTGAGTGAAGAAACCTAATGGTTAATTCTTCTGGAGTGGCTCTTATGGTATTATTTCTGCTTTCTTTATCAAAACTGGCTTTATGTTTATGTCCGGGATTACTTACTGTTTAAGGAGAAATTTTGCTCTAGTAGATTGTTGCTAATACTTTTTAAATATATTTGATATTTCTAATTTGCAGCTAAATTTAGGTCTTAGATTTGACTCTTCGTGGTTATAAAAATGTAGTTAAAGGCCTATGGGTTGGAGAATAGTATTGCTGTTTCATTTCTGTGATTAGATTCATTTTGTTAGTCTTGAGAGTAGAGACCCAGATTTTAGTCTTGGTGAAGTTCTTACTCTTGATTTATTTCTTTCATATGTAAGGGGGAGAAATAGTGGGCAGCTAAATTTAAATATATTTTGTTAATTAGTCTTCAGTGGGCCTTTTTTTCCAGAGTGCCCATTAGATAAGCAGTGTTATGCTATGTAGGTAGTGTTTCATTCCCTAATGCTGCTGCTTATGGTGGTTTGAGCTTTAAGCTGTATAGTCATTCTAAGGCAAGATACAGTTGAAGGAAAATAACTTACTGTGTGAAAATACAGTGAAATTTCAGTTTAGGGAAACCATCACAAATGTTACTGCCCAGAGTACTAGGAACTTTGTATATGTGTTAACATTTTTTTCTCATTTCAGAAATTAAAGATGATTGCTTTAGGGTAAGATAGAAGGAAAGCAATACTTAAGATCACTAGTCATTTCCTAATATTTCCTAGTATATTTTTTAGTTTTCTTAAACATTTCAATACTTGAAGAATGAAGCTCTCATGTTTTGTAGAAATGCATGGGTAGTTCAATTCAGAAAAGCAGAAGCCTGGATTTTGCTTTCAGTGTATTTATTTAATTCTTGGTATCTTTACATAATTCATCTTTCGAATTCTTCAGTTACCTGTAGATGTTTTATTTATACTGAATTTGGAGGCAGAGTAGTATAAACTTCTTGCTCTATATCCTAGAAAAAAAATGTAAAACTGGTGAATAGTTGAAAAAGTAGAATTAATTTATATTTTTCCTGGTCTCAGTACTTTCATAATTAGAATGATTTTCAAAACCAATAATTTCAATAAACTAGATGAAGGGGGAAGCACTTGGTTTATAGAGTGCTTTTACTTACCTTAGTGAGAGCTCTCAGTAGATTGATTTTTTTGTGATGCCAATGTAAAGCATGTGGCAAAATAATTCATATGCTGAACTGTTGCACTTTGGATCCAGTAGATGTGAGGATTGAAGATGACTGGTGAAATAAGAGTAAGGGCAAAGCCATAATATGCTTTTCTTTGATAAATCTGAGGGGAAAAACAGGTTATTGAAGAAGCATGTCTCCAGAGAAAAAACAGGTATTAGGCTTCTGGGGTTTTTGTTGCTGCTGTTTCCTCTGAGAGTATGACCCTGACTTTGTTTTTCTAGAAAAATATTTAGTTCTTGCATACAAATTACTTTAGATTTGAATAGGGTGTACTGATTTTGTACTTGATCTGATCATTTCAGTCCATGATAGTTAGTATGTAAAAATATTTGTTCTTAAATTGTGGTAACATTGAAAATATTTAATACGCTTAGAAGAATACTTTCTGGTCATACTTCTCATTGTTTTATCCCCTAAACTTATTACTGACTTTCTTAAAGGAGGCTCTCATAGTCACACTTTTTAAAAGAGAAAAAATTACAGGCTATTCAGAATTTTAAGAACGCAATGAGTGATAGAAAAAAATAAGAGGAAGAAATGGTTGGTCCTTTGGGTCTTATAAGGAATGTAGTATAGGGACGTTTGGGAGTGAACAATTTGTCTTTTATTTCAGAGTTTGTAAACATGTGAGGGACTTTTTTCTATAGGAAAAAAAAAATTGAAAAAGCCATAGCACAGTGCAAGACCTACCTTTCACCTAGGTCACAATTCTCTGGTATAAAGAAAAAAAGTTTAATGTATTTAGTTCATATAATCATTTTAAATATTTTAATATTTCTAAAAATGATAATCTACTTTCATTATTACATCTGTCCATTCATTTCTTTTAAAAACAGACTCCTTCCCTAGCACTTTTTTGAGTGTGCCTGGATTTTGTTCTTTAAGGAAGTAGGAAATGTTGAATGTTATTCTTTAAAATGTTTTAACTCTTATTAAGCAAAATTTGTTTCACTGCAGTGAGTTTAAGCTTTAAATAATTCTCTACACTGGTAATGATTCTTTTTTTAGTATTTATATTTCAGAGTTAATAAGGTTTTAATCCAAAGTACTCAAAAATACCCTTCCATGAGAACTCTGAAAAGTTTAACTCAGAGTAAAAGTCAAAGCACTTGATAAGGTGGGAAAGGTTTAGTTGGAGAAATAACGAAGTGAATTACTGTA